GACACATCTACAGTCAATCAAGCGTTTTACTGCAAAAACAACCGAGGACCCTGCGGTCGAGCCTCGTAGGTTCAAACGAGCGGCACACAGAGCGGCGCTGCAGCATCGGCCCGTGTTTCTGGACGGTGAAAAAACGGACGATACGGTACACAGAGAGTCACAAGGACTAATGTAGAGAACGGCCAACAAATGGAGCGGTTCAAGACCAAAGCAGCAACGTCAAGGCCGAGTACAAACTACCGAGCCTTCACGTCGCATTGCAGCCAAAGTGCTTTAACGCAGAGTGACGCAGAGTTCCCTCTATTTTGGGATAACGTAAGGTATTAAATAGGAGTGCCGGATATGTCGGTCACCTAAATGTCTTACTCAGCTTGTTGTTGTAATGAAACACTTTGCATTGTACAAAGCATTTGTTTTTTGGTAGCAAACATTAGCATCCAGTTAACTTGGATGATGACTGGAGATACAACTTACTGTTTGTTGAGCAAACCTTTCAAATTCATTTCAGATTTCTGTTAAAAAAATAACCTGATGTGACCAGGAAGGGTTATTTCTATGCTCTGATGAGGACTCTGATGTCACAGAGACATAACAGCATCATGAAGTAACCCGACAACCTCCAGCGACATCACAAACAAGATGGTGACGGCAAGAATACACTAAACTCAAGGCTTCCAAACAGCGTTTCAGACCAATGGGGGGGAATCACGTGGCCACGTCCACTTCTATACAGTTCATGTTCTAAAGCAAAGCAGATTAGTTCAGCAAAATAATGTAATAGGCAAAAGTATGTGAAGTTACCACTTTGAAAGGTGTAAGAGGTCGATGCTGCAGACCAGAGGCAGCTGGCATAGCGAGACCATAACTGTCATGTAGAAATTCTGTACCAAAGTTCCAATTTAAATCCTGAAATCTTAAAATAAAATATAAACGGTAAACATGTAGCCATAACGAACAAAATATATGTATGCAAGTTTGTCTTAAATATTTTATTTCATCTAGTTTACGTAAGATTTCAACTGGAAATTCATTCAGATTAAGGCATAACAATTTGAATCCAAAATGTTCATGACTCGTGCTACAGATCTGGACCACGTACTATTTAGAAAACAATTCTTAATACAATAAATTGGTGAATGCCACAGATTCTCATTAATCACTTACACGAGACCCATTGATCAAGAAGCATGAATCTAAATTTACAGAGTCAAAGTTGATAGATTTGTGTGATCGTCCTTAAGTTGAACATCCTCTTGGAACAGAATAACTGGGAAATAACGTCTCTCTGTCGTACTACCCAATAGAACAGAACATTAAATATTGTTAACATTTACCATATACTCAGGAATGTCACAGATAACATAACAGGCAAATCTGTATATCCATGCATCTCCGTGCCAAATGAAAACAAGCGGTTTGTGATGGTAACTGACGCCGACTGCTGTAGCCAACTATCACTAAAGCGAGGGTTGGCATTCTTCTGATAAAACATGTAGGTTGTATTAGTTAAAGTTCTCATGGGATTTGGAGCATAAATAAATCAAGTGCTCAAGGATCGGACGGGCCGTAGGTCAGTCAACTCTCTGGATAGATTTGGCCAATTCTGGAGCGACTGCTGCTTTGGAAGAAGAAGAATTGGTCCTCTGGGCTGTTTTCTAGCGGACTCTTGCTAGTTTTTGGGCTGCACATATCCCTCTTCTCTGGCCACACATGTTTTATGGTAAATAAACGCTGTTAGTTGCCTGGGATTACAGTTGGTTGTAATGATTTACTCCGACACATGGCGGTCAACATGTAGTGCTCAACAAACCCTCTCGCTCGCACTCGTTCAATACTGCCGCTTGGTCAGTGCTCCGACGCCGGTACCAACGCATCAGGTCCTCTCAGAAAAGGATGTACGGGTAAAACCTTCGCATGCGCTCTGAAACAATGCTGCCTTGGACCCTGACAGATCAAACTTGTATGAGGATTTCCCACTCACAAAAAAACGTGTTAAATATACAAGACCCCTGACCAAAAGTATGTTGAGTGAAAAAAAGTGCACCTTTCAACAAATCGGAGGACTTCTGTTCATACACTGGCTGTGTAATTGAAGTTGTCGCAGAAGAAGGCCGATTACCTGCAGCCTGAAGAAGAGGACAGGCTCATCAAGCTGGTCATGAATAATTGACGCAGGCACCGTCTAACCCCAGACAACGCATCTCTGCATGGATGAACATATATTGGCAACAAGAAAAAACAAAAGGCAAAAGAACTGATCTCAATACAGCCATTAAGAGTATTCAATGGGACGTATAGTCCCACTGCATTCCCCTGAAACAATCACATCCAGAAAGAACAAACTCCAGAGGTTTAGTGTCCAGTAAAACAGCAGACAGACAGTCCTGTCCACATGACAGTAGCTGCAGTGTGGACAGCAGCCGGCCCCGTGCACTCCCAGTCCCTGTCTTTACCGCCGTCGTCGCGCACGGGGCCCAGCCTCCGCTTCCCACCGCCATCCTCCACTCCACTCCACCCTCCACCCCTTCCGTCAGTAAAGGCTCCAGGCCTGCGGGTGCTGTTGCTGGGGGTAAAGTGACGAAGAGCCAGAAGATGAGGCGGTGAGGTCGCCAGGGCCAAGCTGCTTTCCACACGCACACATTCAGTCCAGCTTCTCCTTCTGGACCAGCTTGGGGGCGTCTACGAAGTCCAGTCCATTAAAGAGGATGAGGCCCCCCGTCACCACGCTGGCTGTTCCCCAGAACAAAACGTAGGCCAGCGTCTCGGTCCACGTCTCACCTGATGGGGGGGGGGGGGGGGGGCAGCGGGCGTACCGTCAGCAAAACACATTTAAAAAGAAACTCTGAAGCACATCGTTACGTTTTTTTGTATAAATGTTTCTGTTGATTTCAGTGAATTGCAGTTTTTCTTACCAGCCATTAGCAGGCAGATGATGCACATGGAGAACGCCACCACCATGACGATGGGCAGCTAGAAAAGCAAAAAGAAGTCACATTTTTAAAAAAAGCATCAGGGACAAAGAGGAAAAACGTATCCATTCATCTTCCAGAGCCATTCTTACCGTCAGGAACTTCCAGTCCTTGTTGTCCCGCATCGGAGTGGCCCAATCCGCCTCGTCCACAGCATAGTTCCCCAGGAACAGGTCAATGGAGTCCTGCGTTACAACACAGCGACTGTTTCCTTCCATTTGCCATGAGAGTGCGCCTCTAAATGACCGACATGCTTTTGGGGTTTTCAAATGTATCTTATTATATCTATCTATCTATCTATATAGTCTAGGCAATAATCTGCTGGAACTAAAGATGAGAGGACGTTTCACCTCCTGCCACAGGGGGCCAAACTACAGCTGGTACACTTGGTTCCCTCCACACACCACCAGATGGTGCTGAACAACTACTTGACCGTCGTGGATTACTTTGGCCTCCGGGATTTTTGCAATAGCGTTAGCGTAGCTGGAATAGCATAAATTATGCTCGTGTCATATGCTGAACTGGAGAACTTCTTGGATGAAGACGAACAACGTTGAAGGGTTTAGATGGAAAGATGTTTTCGCTCTTCTTCCTACCGGCTTCAGAGTTTGACTGACAGGTAATTTACTACACTTAAGTCACATGACTTCTTAGTTTTTCTTGATATGACCTGCAATGAAAAAGGTTCAGGCACCCAGTGGAACCTGACAGATTTGCCCTCAATACTGAACATGTTAAGTTCAGCTATTAAATAGTTAGTAAAAAAAAAAAATAAGGCACTAATCAACACATAAAATACACAACGGTTAGGACCCACCTGTCTAAAGCCATCAGAGAAGTTGTTTTTGTAATATCGGATCATGGAGTTCCAGCCGTCCATCAGCAGTCCCCACTGAGTCCTCTTCCCTGTCCTGAGAGATCATTGTGTGAGTCAACAACATGCAGGAAGTCACTAATGTCCTCATTGGTTGGATGCAAACCGTTTTGTTATCCCCTCTTTGTATACCACCATCCAATCCCAGTTACTGACGCCATATCGTGCTCCCCAGAGGGTAGGGCCTCTCCACCGCATGTGAACTTAACCTTCTGAAGCCCCAAAACCATCGCAAAAAACACTGTTCATCACAGCCAGAAGCTTTAAATGTGATACCTCATCAAAAAACATTTTAATTGCCATGCCTCATTTAGAATCTAGAAAAAATACATTTGAATTGAACTAGATTCTATTTAATTTGTACGACCACAAGTCAGAAGCTTGGATAGAGCTGCTCGATGCAGAGCAGAGCGGAGGATACAAGGAGTAGAAAAAACACAACGCCACAAAACTGCTTGTATTTCAGAGAGCTGATGCTCATAATTAACACAAATAGACCAACAAGCAGACCTCCATCCTGAGTGATCCTTCGGTCATCAGCAGGCAGCTAGCACGAGTTCAGATACACATTACTGGTTGTCTCTGTGAAAACTCACCTGGTGAAGTCGGTCTTCAAGGCGCCGGTGCCGGCATACTGCTTGGCACAGGCGTCGGCGTTGTCTGCCCAGGCTGCGCGTGAACGCACGGTTTCGGGGGAAAGAAGAGAACAGATCGTGTTAACATCCAGGACCCTTCGATGCCTCAGGCTTCGACAGGTAATCGGTTCAAAAGGAAACCGCTGCGTGAGCCCACCGTTTTTGAACATCTTGCCAAAGTCGGCCTGCTCCTCGATCTGCTGCCCCGCGTGAAGGACTCCCATTCTCTGCAGCCACACAAACACACATTAACATGGGGATTCATTTGGTAAAGACTACGGTATGAAGCTTATAGTGTGTTACATGATGTTTCAGCAAGGAACCTCGCAGTCTTCTGACCTCAATTTCAATCTGCTGTGAATGCAGAGCCAAATCCTTCCTAAATGTGTATCGGTCTTCAGATGAACCAACGAATTTCAGCATTTATGATCACTACAACACAATTATGTCGTACTTCCCCCCCTTTCCTTTTTCAGAATTTTCTCTTTTTGCTCGCGCCATCACGCTGCTGTATATGAGCAGGTACAATCCCTCACTTTAATTGTGAAACATCCGAATTGAGTTCCGGCGTCTATGTTCTCGCTGAAGTCACCGGACTGCTGATCATGTTTTTTGTGAAAATATGCGACTCCATAGCTCAGTTCAGGAGGTGTCTCTATGTATAGAGCCTGGTACTGCTGCCTGAAGTCTCTGAAGGTGTGGGATGAAAGGCTCGTACCCGTAGCTGGGACTGCAGCGAGCGTTGGGCCAGCATGCTCTGGATGACGTTGGTGCGGTCCAGACAGTCCATGCAGTTGCTCCTAAACGTCCCCTCCTGGGTCGACATCACCTTCCCGTCTGCGTCCACCAGGAAATATCTGGAGACACGCACACCATTACTTCTGCTGCAGAGGCGGATGTAGATATCTACCTGGCGCACGAGGAAAAAAATAAAAAAAAATAAAATGACTCACCCAAATTCGTCCTGCATTTCAGCGACCATGTCCACCAAGATCTGCAGGCGGTGCCACCTCATCCGGCTGCACTCCTTGTGGAAGTCAAAGGCGATGTACCTGCAGAAAAAAGTAGGCGGTTACCAAAACGTAGTGATGACTTCTCATTTCAGATGGCGCTAACTTACTTGATCATGCCGTTTCCCAGGCTGGTCACCAACTTGTCGAAGGCCAGCTCCAGAGGCTGTTCTGAGCCCTTTTGGTTGATCTGACGAGGGAAACCAATATGAATTATTTCGAAGAAGGGTCGTATTATCGGACTGAACGGTGTGGAATCAAAACCTTTCATAAAGTAAGTGACATCTTACCAGGTTCAAAATGACTTGTCTTCCGTACAGGATAATCTGAGAGTCAAAGTGTCTCTGAAATCCGTCCAACTACAAGAGAACTACAGTGAGAAACTTTGTGGGGGACAAAAAGAAACGTGTTCATTCTGGCGTAGATGAGAGGCAGCTTACGTGGTTCACGGTTTTGCTGATCTGTGGTTTGGGCTTGTACTTGAGATTGGGCCGTTGGGACCAGTAGAAGGGGATGGACCCTCGCGTCTACAAGGAGACAAAACAAGGGACGTACAGCCTTCAGTGGGTTTCTGCTGCTGTTCAATACGGAACCAATCTAAAGAATGTTGGTGGTCGTATGGACGGTTGTTGTGATAGAACCACAACCGCTGGGATCCGTCCTTGTGTCTCTGCCGGGGCACCAATGCTTCTGCTCACCTGAACGAACGAGGCCTTGGCGCTGTTGTACTGCACTATCTGCTCCGTTTCCACGTAGTTGGCAGGATGGCCTTCTGAGTCGATGCCTGCGGACAGAAAAAAAGTTTTGAAAGGTCCGGCCATTGTAGAACTGATATCCACAGGCTTTTTTGGGGGCAATAAATTGGCTGCAAGTGTGTTTTCAACATGTTTGCAAACATTTTTAGTGTCGCTAAACAATGTTTGTGAACTCATCCCACGTAGACGCGAGGGCAGTGGTGTTACCTCGGACATAGTAGCGCACTCCGGCTCTGAAGCAGCTCCTCCTGGAGATAATGATCCAATCAAAGACCTTTCCGCTGATGCAGCCCGACTTCATAGTGATGACTGGTCCGCAGGCGGTTAAGAAAACTGACATGGAATAGGGAGGACTCCATGCGACGCAATTCAATAAAAATGTTACATAACGGCGTTGAGGGCGGTCGGGACGCCCCGGTCTGGAGAAACAGAAAAGGGCAACAGCAGTGGAGCAAAACGATGTACTGCTCTTATAGTGATTCGTTTCTGTCTCTTACTCCAAACCACCTTCTGTGGGTGATACAGAGAGTTCACGGGGGAGACGGGCCCGACATGAAAGATCCCACAAAAACACCACCAACGAGCAAGGAAGGATACAGCCATGGACGACAGGAAACACAAACTTGTGTAACTGTAAAAGAAGACCGGTGTCAGGTGAGGAAACGCTTTACATTGCTACCATTATTATATCTGGGGGGTTGTGAGAAAAGGCTTGTGGGTTCAGCCTCACCTCCGGCTGTGCGATGAATTCCCTCAGCAGGTGGCCGTTCCACACAAAGCGCTGATCTGCCTGAAGCACGGACAGTTAGAACCAGTTAATACCCGTCAGAGGGGGAAATATTACTACGTTAAATATTAGATTGAGGTTTTTTATTCTACATACACAATAGTTCATTTTATGTGAATTTAGTTCCCATTTCATGGGTAACATGAATTGCGTATTTTATTCTGTGTCAGACTGTATGTGGTATAAAACACACCCTTTTCACTAAAAGACAGCACACAAAAAAGAGCTTTCTTTGGTTTTGAACGAGGGAAGGTTTATCTCACCCGCTCAAGGAGGCTCATCTCATGGAACTCGGGGCTGGTGTTGGCCAGGCGCTGCAGGGTGTGGGTCAGGTCGTAGTCCGTTGCAAAGTAGAAGGCTTCCGTGTGAAGCACGTTGTTGATCATGGACAGGAAAGCCTTGTTGTCCTGCATCTGAAACAAAGACACGGACCAGCTCCCGAGGTCAGGCGGGTAGAAGCTGCTGCTAGCGGGTGGCACCACCATGAAAGAACATCCAGCAACTTGAAGGACATTTAAACCCTCTAACTTTGCTGACCGCCACCCCGAGCTTTTTTAGACATCTGCCCCATGTGCAATGAGGACTCATGAGACACCCACCTGGGTGTCCGTCAGGTGCAGGATCGTCTTCTTGTAGGAGACGATGTCAAAGTCCACGGCCTTCCACACGACGTGGCCCAGCAGGTCCCCCACCTTCTTCTTCTTTGTGATGACGACCAGGTACATGCCTGACACAGAACGAGTGGTGTGAGACGAGAGAGCCCTGCTGCCACCTGCCGACGGCCACCCCGTCCTCTCAACTCACCTGCCACCAGGCGGATGGTCCCCATGAGGCCGCATATCGGCCGGGTCTCAGCAGACGCAGGGATGTCCCTCCTCACTGAGGACCAGAGCAGCACACAGCCAGCGTTACGCAACAAGTCTCAACTGGGCTGCTGGTGAAGAGCAAATTCAGACGAATCGAGAACAAGTGACGCCTTGAAACCGGCTTCTGATGTGATCGTTACAAAAAACAAGCCATCATTGTAGCCCAACTACAAGTAAAAAGCGTCGACGGTCATCTTTACTTCCTACAACCAGAGCTTCCCAAACTATTTTTTGTAGACCTACTTTTTAAAAAAAAACATCACTTCAAGTCAAAACAAATGTGTCATTTATACAGAACCTTATATTTACTCGAAGAGTAATAAAAGAGCACTTTGATAAGTCACAACTAAATATTCACACAAGATAAATACTTGATAAATGACAGAAAGTAATTGGAAGGCGTTGACGAGCCATCTTGCTCTTTCATTTTCTCTAATAAGTTAAACAAATGGAATGTAACGTTACACAAGAGAATGAACTAAATGATTAACACAACTAACCCTGCGATTTGAGTCTGTGCCCAGCTGGAAAACACTGATCCATTATGAGGTCATTTTGTCTTATGTATTTCTACCAAGATGCTGTTTTTTATTATTTATTATTTAGTAATGAACCATTATATCGGCCCCCAGCCCTAAAAAAAGATGTACATTTTTACGTTCGTTCTGTGGCACATGGCATCCATTATATCATCCATTAGATCCCTCCTCTGGCGTTATATTCTCCTTAATATAATAATATGTTTACACCTCGTAAAGACCTCTGAGGCGAATGTGTCATTTGTGAATTTGGACTATACTAAAGGAAATTCATTTAAAGGATGATGAAAGTTTGCAAGTTTGACAATTAATTGTTTTTCCCCGTCAACTAATATTTGCTTAGGCCACGTCACGCGCTGAGCAGCGCTCACCTGTGAGAGTCGTCTCCGTCGACACCCGGTCGATGGCGAGGACGTCCTCGGATCCCTCATCAAGAGCCTCCACGTAGAACTTCTCTGGTGTGGTGCGCCTAGTGTGTGTGTGTGTGTGTGTGTGTGTGTGTGTGTGTGTGTGTGTGTGTGTGTGTGTGAGACAGACAGACAGATGTTTAAAACCCCGCGAGCACCATCACCACCGCCACTGTGTAACACCGTCACTCCAAAAGAAACCTGCGGACTAGAGTCAACTGGCGGAAGACTGCGCAGCGCGCCGACAGGGAGCCCAGTTAGCTGTTAGCAGTTAGCAGTTAGCTAACGTTAATGGAGCCGTGTAGCCGGCTGGAAGCAGCCAGCAGAGCCGGCTCTCTCCTATCTAACGCTAACGTTAGCTTCACCCGGCAGCACGGGACTCCTGACACACAGCGGTAGGTTAGCGACGTGCTGCTGTCATATCCAACGCGATTTTAAAAAAAGCTCGTTAGTGGGGGAAAGTTTATACGGAATGCGGTGCGGGTAACGTTAGCATTGTTCGAAACACGATGGCGGCGCAGACGCGGTGCACTAAAGACGCAGCGCCGCTCCGTCGTCTGGCCGCGTTCGTGCGGCCGCTCGCCTCTTCACTCCGTCCCAACGAAACAAAACGCGACGGCGTGTTACGCTGTTGATCCGCAGCACTTACAAGTTGAAACTCTCGTAGGTGCTCGCCATCTTTCCTCCCGTCTGACCTCAATGACGTGTCATCGACACACCGGCTACTTCCGTCGGTAGCTGCGGGCGCTGCCGCAAAGAGACGCCAGGTGGCGCTGTGGCGATGCGAGTCGCAGACGTCATTTCACATTTACACGTCTAAATGCTCAACCCACACTAGTCATGACAACCATGTATGACTGTACCTTGCATATTTATTTGTTTTCTGTGTGTATATATATATATATATATATATATGTATGTGAAAATGACAATATTTGTAAAATGTGATATCTGCGCAAATGATATGCTTTTCCTGCACGTCCCTGCCTGCGATACGCACGTCCTGTCTTCATCTCCTCCCTAAACCCTAAACCGCCAGGGACTTAATGACGTCACCTGGTAAGTGATTGCGTGTGAAAGTCTGTGAGGGCTTTAAATGGTCTAAATATGAATGCGACAGCACTTTGCTGCAACATTGTCACGTCACCATGACAACGTAAAAAATCTGAATTACAATTGAGGGTATTTTTTTGATTTTACTCTTTGATTTCAACGTCTTTCAGGCTCTTTCCTCATAAAATGGGAGGTCATTTTAAATGGTGTTTTACGTTGGCTTTGGTGACAATATTTTATATTTTATGAAACGATGAGTGTGAAATATTCAAATAGACTTCACCCTTTTTATTCGTTTCTGAGACTGCTTGTGCCTGTTCTTTACGTGGTTCACTGTGTTTAAATCATTTCCCTACTTATGATGATCAATGATGTGTAACGTTACATTTTTAATTTAAATTAATGTAACCACTATGTATGGTTATTTGTCAATTAAATGTGATGGAATCTGCCTCTGAGTCCTCTGCATCCCTATTGCTGTTTAAAAGTGTCGTAACTGGAATTTATTGAAACTTTGTTGCAGTGTTTCCCACCTGGTCTGTTTGTTCCAATTCCAATGCCCCTTTGTTCGGTTTATGTTTACACTGCGACATTTAACACTGGACTAAATATTGTAAACAAATACCACGCATGAACAAACTGTTCTCTCATTATTCCAATTTTATTGCAGCTATAAATAGGCTCTGTGTCCTTCTTTTTTAATTGGGGGATTGGGGGCACATGAACCCAGTTGGGATGTAGAAGGGGCTGGATGGCCTAAAAAGTTTGGTAAGCACTGCCCTAGAGGACACTGGACCTTTTTTCTCCACTGGAAGGGCACCGAGAGGTGACTGGATCCAATTTATTCTATAAGAGCACCTGAGGGGGCACTTCATCACGTTTTCTGTACTCTGAGGGCAATTCATGTTTTCTTTCAGCATCTAAGGGTGAACCCCTTTAAATATACATCATTAAGTTGTATTACCTCACATTTACAATCAGATAAAGACTCAAAACCAAATTGCGGTTGAATCAAAAACTGTCCATCAATATAGTACCATAATAGGAAACCTTACGAATAACACACAATTAAAACGGATGATTCAATTAATTTTATTTTAAAACCCTTTAACCTTAGATAAACGGCAGAGGACGAGGGACAGAATGCAATGGATGTCATGTATACAGAATGAACAACGTAAAAGATGTACAATACGATCATTCATACAACAGAAATGATTAAGATGCAGATGGCAGCCTCGGTACGTCAGTGCTGTTTATTTTTGTTATTAATTCTGCTTTCTGTTGGGATTCCCGGAGCTCTTTCTCCAGAGATGAGCTCATGAACCTCCAGGGAACAACTCCCAACTTTTATCTTGTCTAATGTTATGCACCAGCCGCCAAGTCAAATTCCTTGTATGTCAGACAACATATTTTGGTAATAAATGTTCCTGATTAAAATATTGAGAGTAGTAAGCCAGGTGTAAACCTTTATGCTTCTGTGTTTTCACGCAATGGGCTTTTGCACACGCAAAAGCCCATTGCGTGCGTCAACCAATTTTTCTAGACTAGCGGTTAAAAGCTATGCAAGGCTCACGCAAAAAAAAGGCGATGAAAAGCAGCAGTGGTGATGCACAGGCCAATAAAGTCTCCAAAACAAACCAACGACCTCCACACACAAAAACGTCATTCTCTAGGTCGTCTTCGACAAAAAACGTTACTCCACCTAGTGTTCTGGACGGTGAATTGCTTCGCAACACGCGCCTTTTAGAACCAAGAATTGAAACGAGTGTGTCGATACGACTGTGCGTAAAGACGCAGAAGCACCAGCCTTAAGGCAGGACCACTGCAGGAACAACTGTCATCAGGTATATCCACCACCAGACGTGTCCACCATCAAACGTAACCACCATCAGACGTGACCACCACCTGACGTGACCACCACTAGACGGGTCCACCACTATTAGACGTGACCACCACCTGACGTGACCACCACCTGACGTGACCACCACCTGACGTGACCATCACCGTCATACGTGACCACCACCTGACGTGACCACCATCAGACGTAACCACCACCAGACGGGACCATCACCGTCATACGTGACCACCACCTGACGTGACCACCACCAGACGTGACCACCACCAGACGTGACCACCACCAGACAGGACCACCACTATTAAAGGTGACCACCACCAGACGGGACCACCACTATTAGACGCGACCACCACCTGACGTGACCATCATCAGACGTGACCACCACCAGACGTGACCATCATCAGACGTGACCACCACCAGACGTGACCACCATCTGAGGTGACCACCACCAGACGTGACCACCACCAGACGTAACCACCATCAGACGTAACCACCACCAGACGTGACCACCACCTGACGTGACCACCACCAGACGTAACCACCATCAGACGTAACCACCACCAGAGGTGACCACCATCAGACGTGACCACCACCAGACGTAACCACCACCAGACCTGACCACCACCAGACCTCACCACCACCTGATGTGACCACCACCAGACCTGACCACCACCTGATGTGACCACCACCAGACCTGACCACCATCAGACGTGACCACCATCAGATGTGACCACCACCTGACGTGACCACCGCCAGACGTGACCACCACCAGACGTAACCACCATCAGACGTAAGCACCACCAGAGGTGACCACCATCAGACGTGACCACTACCAGACGTAACCACCACCAGACCTGACCACCACCTGATGTGACCACCACCAGACTTGACCACCACCAGACCTGACCACCATCAGACGTGACCACCATCAGATGTGACCACCACCTGACGTGACCACCGCCAGACGTGACCACCACCAGATGTAACCATCATCATATGTAGCTCCAGGCTAACCTGAGCCAGCCCTAACTATAAGCCTTATCAAAGAGAAATGTCTAAAGGCTGGCGCATGCTTCTGCGTTTGCTTCTGCGTTTGCGTCATCGCGGACACATTTGTCCCGTATTTTCCTCCACAACTTTGTGTTCCTCTCGACCGGCAAACCAGCGTTTGTGGCGATCTCCCTCCGTGAATCCAACCTGCTTCTACAACCCGCCAATGACGGCTTGTATAAGCGGTCATATTTACGCATTTTTATCCAACAAAAGTTCTTAAATCTGATCCGTTCTCTCGTAAACATTCTTCGTTTTAATAATGGCGGTATCGGGCTATGAAAGCAGAAATGTGAGACTCCGTAAAGGACGTAGTTAGCGGACCAATCGCAGCCTGCGGGAGGCTTGCGTTGCTTGCGTCGCTTTCGGAAGCCTGTGGGGAGGGAGAGCACAAAGACTTTAGGAGAGGGTAATGTTGGTTTATGATTACAGTAATATGATTCATATTTAAAATAATGATGATGATGGCAGCAGCAGCAGGTGTCAGCATGGCCACGGTAGGTGTCAGGACCAGGGTCCAGAAGGAACTACGATCTACGGAGACCTGCTAGGGGAGAAAGCACAAAATAACTCCCGGAAAGAAGCTGAATTAGTCATGTGCATTAATAAAACGTGAATTATTGTAGAACGAGAGCGTGAGCGAGGAGCTTGCTGTGCCCTAAGAAGTCCCCCGGCAGTCTAAGCCTATAGCAGCTTAACTAAGGGCTGGTCCGGGCTAACCTGAGCCAGCCCTAACTATAGGCAACATCAAAGAGGAGAGTTTTAAGCTTTACCTTAAAAGAGCTGACCGAATCTGCCCCCCGGACTGAAAGTGGAAGCTGGTTCCACAAAAGAGGAGCTTGATAACTGAAGGCTTTTTAAAACCATAGGAACAACAAGTAACCCAGCATCTATGGAGGGCAGCTGCCTTGTAGGGCAATACGGTGTTATAAGCTCTTTAAGATACAACGGTGCCTCACCAGCAAGTGCCTTGTAGGTGAGAAGTACCTTAAAATCTATTCTTGATTTAACAGGGAGCCAGTGCAGAGAAGTTAATACAGGACATAATATGATCCCTTTTCTTAGTTCTTGTTAATACACGTGCTGCAGCATTCTGAATAAACTGGAGAGGCTTAAGAGATTTACAAGAGCAGCCTGATAACAAAGAATTACAGTAGTCCAGTCTAGAAGTAATAAACGCATGAACTAATTTTTCTGCATCACTTTGAGACAGGAAGTTCCTGATTTTTGATATGTTACGTAGATGAAAATAGGCAGTCCTTGAAGTCTTCTTTATATGCGAGTTGAAGGTCATATTCTTGTCGAAGAGAACTCCAAGATTCCTGACGGTGCTGCTGGGTACCAGAGCAATTCCATCCACAAAATGTGTATCACGTGACAGCTGGCTTCGAAGGCGCTCTGGGCCAATCAAGATAACTTCTGTTTTTTTGAGTTTAGCATCAGGAAGTTGCTGGTCATCCAAGTTTTGACGTCTCCAAGACATTATTGAAGACTAACAAGCTGTTTGTCTCTTCTGGTTTGATCGACGAAGAAGTGGTTTAATTACAGCTACCGTGAAGGACTGTGGTACATGTCCTGTGAACAAAGACAGATTCATAATATCTAATAAAGACGTGCTAACTAAAGGAAAAACTTCCTTAAGCAGCTTAGTCGGAATCGGATCCAAGAGACAAGTAGAAGATTTATACATAGAAATTAAAGAAGTCATTTGATCAAGGTTGATGGAATTACTGCCTTGTAGGTCAGGGCAACGTTTAATGTGATTCTTGATTTGATGTGTTTGATACATTTCTTATGGATCAATGCTACATTTTGAACTTGTATTCCTCTTCCTAATACACCTCTGTACCTGCACATGCACCAGACGTTTTGTCTGTACTAACGGTAGATGTGGCCCCTCCATGCCGGTAGGTGGCACACATGTTGTCGGCGCTGTGATACACGACGCTCGTCGGCAGCGTAGAAGCAGCGAGTCGGCGTGTAGCGGCACACGTGGTCAGCCTGCGTCCTTCCAGTGAGAGCAGCAGCAGCAGAGGAGCGCAAGTGTCCCGTTGGTGCCGCAAATAAACTGCATTACAACATACAACATGAGGCCAGGTAAGTTACCCCAGATATGATAGTCCTTTAAGTATATATTTAAAAACGATGTGAGTGTTGACTTTGTTTAGCGGTCCTCTGTGGTTTTATAGCTGAATGCGCTGATATGCGCTCGGCCTTCCCCGCCACGCTGCTTCAGCTCTCCGCCCGGGGACTTTGTTCAACGCAGGAACTAGTGTCCCAAAGCGTGTGGACGCGTGTGCTTTTAATGTACGTCCATGCAGCAGCTGAAATATAGTGTGCATGTAATAGCGGTCGCACGTGGGGGATAAGCGGCAGCGCGGCTTGCAGCGCTTACGAGTCTCTTAACACACGTGTTGAGCCGCCGTGCGCAGCAGCGACCCGCACAAGTAATCTCGTTTACGGCAGAATATTGCGCTCAGCGGTCAATGTATTCTTTACGGTCCAAAGCCTGAAACGTTGGATAAGACTGCCTCGTTGATCTTTTTGTGTACCGCTGACACGAGGCTAAAGCTAGCAGTAGCCCTAGCTAGCGGTAGCCGAAGCTAACCCGCTAACAGCCCGGATTGGAACCTCGTGCGCGCGCTGATATCCGGCCCGTTCTTTAAAACTCACCCGGCTGCGGCACGTGGAAACACACGTTTGTTCGACCCTGAGCAGAGAGCAACACAACCCGGTATGCTGTGGGGTGACTACACCCTGGACTCGTGTGGGGAAACGCTCCCGGGGGTATTCGGTAAAACACAGTAAATGCTACCGTGAAAGTGAAGTTACTGCTGTCTCGACAGCGAGGGGCTCAGTGTTGCTACCAGCAACCATTTTGAGAAAGTGGGAACTAATTAATACCGTTCAACATGCAGCTAAAGTGAAATTAACATTCATTCTAAGATACACTCTAAATTTATAAATTATTTAATATAACCTAAATAAATGGAACGATCATTGCTAACCGTGTGTAACCCGTTTTCCTCCAGAGAAGCACACAGAGACATATTGTGAATATCTCTATTCTCTCAGCAGCAGTTTGCATGTGATGGAGCAGTTATGTGGCGTTAGAATGCATATTTTCGCTGCAGTGAGAGCTTCCCGGTATGCGTTTGTAGAGTCACGGCCCTAATATCTGTGTTCTGTGTTTGATTTTAAGGCTTTTCTCCTCGTGGAGACCGTGGAGGACGGGGAGGACGAGGAGGATTCGGTGACCGTGGAGGACGGGGAGGATTCGGTGACCGTGGAGGACGGGGAGGATTCGGTGACCGAGGACGCGGAGGCTTCAGAGGGAGAGGTCATTATCAAATATCATAGTATTGATGTTGCAGTTTGAGTGTTACTTTAATTATACATACATACATACATACATACATACTGGTACTACCAGAGCAAAGGTGTATTTAAGTCTTTCTTTTCCTCAGGTGGATCATTCAGGTCTCCCGATGGTGGCGGATTTCGGGGTCGAGGGGGTGGACGAGGAGGCCCCAGAGGGAGGGGAGGCAGAGGAGGCTTTGGTGCAGGGAGGAAGGTCACAGTTGAGCCACACAGACATGAAGGTTTGTATTACTACGGTTAATGACCCATTTATTCTATATAACTTGTCAAAGTCTGTCTACTAGTCGTATGCACTGATAAAACTTATCGTGGGTTTCATCAGGGACGCGCACCTGTCTGACTGTCAAAACAGATCAGATTCGTTGTTTCCCTGTAACTAGATTTAAATTTCCTATTGGCTACTGGTGTTTGTGCCCTAGAAACTGACTCCTGTGTTTTCATCCCCACTCAGGAGTGTTCATCTGCAGAGGGAAGGAGGACGCCCTGGTGACCAAGAACATGGTGGTGGGAGACTCTGTGTACGGAGAGAAGAGGATCAGCGTGGAAGTAAGATGGCGGTTCCTCGCATCCCAGATGTCGCACCGTAACTGCAGAGCTTTTGGCCAATGAAAAACTTTCTCTGTTGTCCGGTAGGAAGGCGAGCTGAAGATCGAGTACAGGGCCTGGAATCCCTTCCGCTCCAAGCTGGCTGCAGCCATCTTGGGAGGAGTGGACCAGATTCACATCAAGCCCGGGGCAAAGGTCATGTACCTGGGAGCGGCCTCTGGGACCACGGTGTCCCACGTCTCTGACATTGTTGGACCGGTGAGTCCTTAACTCTTGGTCCGTCGCAGAACTTAAAGTTGTGTTTAATTCAACACAGGTGTTCTAACAGTTGTGTGTGTGTTACAGGAGGGGCTGGTCTACGCCGTGGAGTTCTCCCATCGATCGGGTCGCGACCTTCTAAACGTAGCAAAGAAACGCACAAACATCATTCCAATCATCGAGGATGCCCGCCACCCACACAAGTACCGCATGCTGGTTGGTAGGTAGTCCCGATCCGCACATGTTAGTGGAGACGCCTGTGACAAAAACTATTTGTTACAGGCGGAGTACATCTCATACATCAATCCTGTTTCATGACATTGACACTGCGCATGACATTTTTATTTTTGATTTGACGTGGTCCCGTAGCTTAATGTATTCTAGAGGCCAATGGAACGGGGGGAAGCTTCATTGGGTGGTTGTGCTCGTCGCTGCAACAATGAGTGAATAGTCAGTAACGTTCTCCCTCTTTCTTTAGGAATGGTGGATGTGATTTTTGCTGACGTTGCGCAGCCGGACCAGACCAGAATTGTTGCTTTGAACGCCCACAACTTCTTGAAGAACGGAGGACACTTTGTTATCTCAATCAAGGTACGCTGATGTCCGCAGCCCTTCACACCGCGAACATGAAGCACTACGCAACAACTCCTCCCTCTTAATAGCACGACCTCTAAGGTGGACCAGCAGTTTTCCTTAGTGGAACATTCTGCACCTGAGCTCTGCATTTATTTCCATGAACTGTTTGATCGGTTACAATCCAATATTTCTATGTAATTATTCTTTATCTGACATTCCTGCTGCATGTTCTCTGCTGTTAATTTAAGACAAACATAATGAGATGTGATCATATGTATACAAATGCACAATTTTATTTTTTTAAACTTCAGGCTAACTGCATCGACTCGACGGCGCCCCCAGAGGTGGTGTTTGCCTCAGAAGTGAAGAAGATGAGCGCTGAGAACATGAAGCCTCAGGAGCAGCTCACGCTGGAGCCGTACGAGAGGGACCACGCCGTGGTTGTGGGCATCTACAGGTACGCCCACAGCAGACTGCTCATTAACGCTCCACTGTGACTGTTCGCACTCCACCAATCCACACCTGCATGGTCTCTAATGAAGCTGTCTGGCTTTAGACGTCTGGCAAATAGTTATCGTAAAAATGATGAATCTAGTTTGCGTTGAGCTATTGTTCAATCGGGCTTGCGACATGCGTTGGCGGCCGGCTCCGAGCTTCACTGCTAAATCATTTTCCCAACTTCAAATAGTTGATGGTTGTGATCAAAGTTTGTTTCTGCAAGCAAATCGACGTGTAGATGAAAGCTAGTCCGTCAGGATTGTCCATCTATACTTAATGGTTAAATTAGGACCTGCTAGTCTATATCAAGCTACTAGGTTGACACAGCTCCATCTGGTGGACTGTTTAAAAGTTAAAATGTCCTTACCCATGTCTAGTTTTGGACTCATTTCAAGGTCCCACAAACATGGTGTACTCTGATTCTTGACAAATTCATTAAAATAATCGGTCATATCTACCAATGCAGCTGACTGTCTGCACAAGTCGCTGCTTAAAGGCGTTTCATATAGTTTCTTCATAGAGTTCAAAGCTCTTAAACAGGTGGGCCTGGACTGTTTTATCAGTAATCCTTTGTCGCTCTACAGTATCTGCAGATAAACGCTAATAATGGTATCCGGTAGTAAGTACTGTAGGATGTGATTAGAAACTGTCCCACCTTTCCTACTGAGTTTCCCAGGTTGACACACATTCATACAGCGTTATGCTTTTCTTCCCCCACGACATGTTATGCTAACATGTTTGTTTGTTTTTGTCTCCTCAGACCTGCACCGAAAAAGAAGTGAGGGACTCAAGACGGCGCTGGGTTTTTAAACCACATCTGCTTTTTATTTTCCACTGCTCTCCTGCCTTGTACTGTGAGACGACAGGAGGGTCGAACATGTCGGGGTATCTTTCTTTTCAGTTGACTGACCGAGCATCCAACCGCTGGCGTCTCTATAGCCGGCGGGGTTGGGAGAACACTGCATAACGTTTGTGTGCCAGATTGGAGTCGTGTTTTTGTCATGTGTGCAGCGCTTTACCACCCGTAACTTCACACCTGTGGCTCGTACATTGAACTGATAACCTGTTTCTGTGTAACTGCACATCAGGAAGACTAATACAACGGCAAAATATCCAGTCTTGTGTATTTATGGGATCTCATTTGGTTTCTTGTTTGGTCAGTACTTTATCACTTCTATGCTCCTCATTCTATCATAGAATCTTATTTTCTTATGTCCTCTTTACCTTAAGCTCCATCCGACTCATCGACAGTGCTGATCAGGTGGCTGGTGAACAATAAGTCATCTGTCATAACTTGTGTACAGGCTCAATGTTGTGTGTACTAATTGCACAACACTCACATTTTGTAGCTGAGGAAGCCGACTGCTGATGTGTTTAGTGGTGATCGTGTGTACAGACAAATAGAGACGTGCCCTTTTCCTGACTTGTAGTTTGGACGCACAGTCCTTTGTGTTGGCGGAATACAACAGTTGTAATTTGCAACAATGTATGCGTTGAACAGTTTATATATTTGTTTTTTTGACATATAATGCCAACTTTGTTTTAATAAAATGTTTATGATTGCTATTTTGTTCTTCTGATCTATGACTATTCAGACTACTGACCCGTTTAACAAGCCTCAGCAGATGTCCAGGTCTTGCGTTTCACTTTGACAGCACAAGCTGATGCGCAACCAACCCGCACAGGAACTATTAAAACCTGGATTTAGAACTAATGTTTGGCCTCCATCCACCAGTTTGAGGGGACTTGTCTCCGGTGACGTGTTGCCGGTGGACATGAATCGTTAAAAGCGGTTTAGTCACGCGCCACCGACTGCGGCGTTCCGGTAGGTTGTATTACGATGTGAAAACCAACTATAAACGACGGTAAACGTCAACTTGGGTGAGTTACTCGGGTGACCGTCCGCGGCGGATTTGTTTTGGCAGCCATTTTGTGGGAACGTTCCTCCGGCGCGCGCCGGGCCGTGCTCGCCTGGCGTCGGGAGTGCGCGCTCAATGCAGCCCCTCTTTGACCGATATTAACATCACGGAGGGGCCGGCCAGCACAGAACTAGCGGTAGCTGTGCCTGCTGAAATACGTGCGGTTCTCCATAACGCCTGCCGGTACCGTGCAGCGGACCATCGGCCGGACGCTGCCCGACGAGCAGCCTGCAGTGTGCGGACTGTCTTACTCTTAATTCCAATGGCAGTGTTTTATTAGACAGCTAGCATGCTAGCTTGTGGCTAGCTAATGTTAGCTTCTTTCCTTTTTAAAATTTTTTTTTTTAAGTAGGCGGGCTTGTTACCCCATAGGGGCCTACGCTCTAATTGTATGGTAGCATAGTGCATATCTGAGAATACCTCTCGGAACAAGTACATTGCGTTGGCGGAGCGGAAAGAGGACTGAGGTGTCGGTGGTCGCGGCGGCGGGCTGCCCACCTCCCCTTAGGCACGGCTAGCTGCGCCGCGCCGGCAATCTGCCCCCATCGACCGGCCGCGCGCTGCGCTCCGGAGAATAACGCACTTTCACTGGACACCCATTCCGCCGGGATTTTATCAGTAGACAATTCTGCCAAACCCATTACTTGGATTTCGGAAGAGAGGCGACTGGTCCGGGGGAGGGGGCTCGGTTCGTGTGGACGGGGGGAGATCGGGGTTCCGAACATGGCTGCTTCGCGGGACTTGGTTCGACACACCGCCTGAGGTAAGAAATCGCCGGTCTTTTTTTTTTTCCCCCCCCCCGTGCACGTATGCATTCGGGGCAGCTTGGTTCTTGACACTGACTGTCACGCCTCTAACATGGATATTAAATCCGCGGTACCGGGGCTCGGTGGCGTAATGTCACCCCTTCCTACGTTCCTCGCCCCTGTCACCCGGCCTCATGTCCCCGCTCCTCCGCCGTGCAGGTGGCTGCTATCGGGACGCAGGCTGCGGAGATATTACGGCTTAATGTCGGCGTTGGGCACCGGGGTCGTGTTAAACGATTAAGGCATGTAGCGGAGACGTGCGCTGTGATGATGGACCACATAACGTTACCGCCTATTCGCAGCATGCGATGTCCTCTAAGTCCATGAACCCCCCCCCCCCCCGGACACCCCCCCGACAGCGCGGTGACGCGCTTCTAGCGACAACCTCGCCCACTCAGTCTTTGGATGGTCGTGAGAAGCCACATTTATGTGAATGTGTCTGCTTCGTGTGCGTCCGTCGCGCATCTTCAGCCGCTAGGTACCGCGACCTGCCCCAAGTCACGCACGACACCAGACAGAACGGGCAGAAGGATGCGTGTTATCGTGCGGGGGGGGTGGATGCGTTGCTCGCATGTGGACCCTGTAGTTCACAGCAGGTGGTTAAACCCCGATGTGACATGCGGATGGCCGGCCGGCCACCCCCCGACTGTCCTCTGCAGGTCTGCAGCAATCATCAGCTAGAGGCTAGCCGCTAGCTTAGCCACCGCAGCAGCCCCAGCCCCTTCCCTGCCCCGAAGTGCAGGCGCACAGGGCTCCGTTGCCGAGAGATGGCTGCTCCCATTAAAGGACCGAGACGAGGATGATGAGACCGCTGCTGATGCACAGCTGAAAGACATCTTGACATCTCTCGGCCTCCTCTCTGTTAATGACTAACTGAAGACGCTGTGGTCTGAAATTTGCCCTATTTCGATTTGGTTTGTAACAAACTCCCCCCCCCCCCCTTCTTCCACATATACAACGACACACACTAACTGGAATTGGGGTTACTGTTTTTCCTAAGGTGAAAACATTTCGTTCTTTCCCACCTCGTTTTTATTCCATTTATTTATCTTCTCAAATCATCTTGAACCACTACTAAGGATGACTGTCATTCTTCCACATCTACGGGAGAAAGGACACGTTCCCTACGGTGGAGGCTTCCATCAGAAGTGTCTTGTTTTATGAATTCATTGTCATTTAGCTGCGTGTGACTTACTTGGCAGGGAATACCACTGCTGAAAAGCCCAGGCTGAAACGAGTCTTGATGTTTGCAGATTGCTGCTAGGTTGTCCTGTCCACATCCCACCGCAGAGGAACCAGTCGAAACGTTAGTGCCGGCTGGCAGCTGCGTTCATAGTGAAGCTGAACCTGCTCCGTTTCATTCGGCCTGGAGGAGATATAAGTGGAAAAGCACCTGCGTCTACTCTGCAGATTAGCTGCTTCCCACAATGGCTTCACCAGCAATGAAACGTGACGTTTAGCTTCTGAAGCTATTGCATGTTTCATTATTGGACAGAATGTTCGGAATCTCTATTTTATAAGGATGTTATAAAACATGTTAACGTGCACTGACATTCTTGTCAGCTGTAACAGCACTAAGGCCGGGATGTGCACAGGGATGCTGTGTGGAGTCCTGTCTAATGGACCCCAGACTGGGGGCATTGTGGGAGCGGCTCTGCTCAGCGTTCTCTCGCTCCAGCCCACTGACACAATGTTAAGTCAATTCTGTGTCTTTTGGCCCTTAAAAGCCAATTAGTTCCCTGACTGACAGCACAGCTGTGACAACAAGCTCAGAGTGTGTGTGTGTGTGTGTGTGTGTGTGTGTGTGTGTGAGAGAGAGAGTGTGAGAGACGGGTAGCTTCGACCCGCTCATTGAAACATTTAAAACGTTGTAGTCACCGATAGACGAGGTTCACAGGGAAATCTTGTCTCTTGTCTCTTTTCTCTTCATCCTCTACTTCCTGTCCCATTCCGCTCTGCTCCTGTCTCTGTTACTCCAGATGAAACTTTTTGGACTCCAGCTGTTGCCTGATGTGGATCGTTATCTATCTACCTCTGTACGCATCTGTCCATTGACTAAATATGCGTTTGTGTTGATCGTGTCTTGGAATATATATATTCTACTATATTATTGTATATAAAAGATAGTTTTTTTGTTGACGGTTGGTTTGATTCATTGTTGTATCTTTTCCGTGGACTCCCATGGCCTCACCCCTTTTAGTGTCGATGTGGCGCAGGGGTAGAGAGGGCGCGCCGGGAACTGCAAGGTTGGTGGTTTGAGCCCCGGTTGCTCCGTGTCCCATGTCGAAGTGTCCCTGAGCAAGACACCTAACCCCTAAAAGCCATCCAAAGTCGCTTTGGATAAAAGCCTCAGCTAAATGACCTATAATGTAGTGATTTGGCCTCGCCCACTATCACAGATAAGCTAACGGTTAGCGTCGTGCCGCATCTCTAGCGAAATGATCATCTGATCACATGACGTGAGTTTAAGAAGCAGCCAGTTAAACGTCAGACTTAGATTTGAAGTGATCCGCCATGGTTCTGAATCAGGTCCATGTGGAGGAAGGAGCTTCTGAAGTACAGCATCATCTGAATGAGTCAGACACATTTACTTAACATTTTATCTACTATGCAGCTCATCTCCTTTTCTGCTTGCAGGTACTGTGTCACTAAACGGGGCTGTCAACAAAAGGAGATTTGATGAATGGATTTAGATTCAATGACAGCACTGAGCATGTTGCAGCTCCTGGAAGGATGCACATGTAGCCCGGTTGTCTTTATTCTTTAGGAGCAGATTCCATATTTTGGACTCAAGGCAGGAGGCAAAGCGGACGTGGTTCCCTCCTGCTGTTCGGGACCATGCAGACGCCCTATTGGGTGTTTTCATGTAGATAAAAGATCTATGTATTGAACCTGCAGGACGATTATACCAATTTTCATTATTCATTCTGTTCAATGTGACCCCAACGTGTGGTCTACAGTCAAGCCTTTAAAAACACTCCACCAACCGTCTTACCACTGCTGCTAATAAAAAAAAATGAAATGGATAAGGGCTCCTTCTTTTCTCCACAATACATTTTCAACATTTCTTCGGTCTCTGAGTAACCCGACGATAGTAGCCTGCTACAGCTAATTTGGTATATTTTTAATGGTGCCAAATACAGACTAAAAAAAGATTCCTGCACCTAATTAACTGACTCTTTCGCAACTTCATACTTCCTGGTTACATCGGCCATGTGATGGAAACCATAGTTCCAAATTGAAGAGCATTGATATCCCTTAAAAAGAAGTAGGGGACATACACAAAAGCAGAGAAAGACAACGTGTGCGTCCATGTCATAGTCATAGCCCGATATAGCTGCGCAGCACAGCGCGTCTCTGCTGCTAGTCCCACTGGAAGGTGGAGGAGGTCGCTCCAGCCGACGTAGTTTCGCTCCCTCCGCTAACGAGTATGAATTTAAGTGAGGTTTGTTGAACAGAGTCTATAAGCAAAACTCTTGGAGAATAAAGAAAGCCTTCTAGGGCTTCCCCCCTCCCTCGGTAAGGTTAACATTAATAGCAATCAGATTATTAGAAATACCCACTCAGTCCTTAAGAGACACGCAGAGTGTCCAAGGATCTGCAAGGTCACGGCGTGGACGCTGAGACCTTTGCTTGCTCCAATCAAATGTTTGTTTGCTACAAAAATACATCGTATGTTCCTAAAAAAAAATGTATATATATTTTTATTTATGATTACCATGTGTTTGCGACCCCACCACTAATCATTTTTGTCAAATGTGTGCTTGAGAACCTGTAGGCAGAGGACGCCTGCGTGAGACGCAGACTTCACGTGTGACCAGTGGCGGTCGGGAGTTTTCCT